CTTAAATCTGGATTTGAGACAGTACACTCAGGAGTCACTTGACCACCAGCCAATGAGAGTATGGTGTATACTACAAAAACAATTAAAGTCTGAAAATCACCAGCCATCAAAAATTTGACATCTGGATCTAGAATTGTAACATGTTCTTTGTACCTAGCAGAGCAACAAAACATTGCAGAGAACCACTGCCCTGTAACCAGATCATTTGCAAAACAGAGACCCAAACTCCCCGGTTCACTGGACTCACGAGTAAAACTCCTGACTGCCCACTTCATTGCTATTATTTAAAGTCCTCTATGTGACAAGAACAGATGCCATTTCAGAGAGTCTCTGAAAACTCCCCAAGATTATTTATTTTCCAAAAACTGAAAAATGAAGTCAAATGCCACTGCTGGAAGAGTCATTCCAGAGGCCAGCAGAACTTAAAATTTCCATATATCTACTACAGTAGGCCTGGAGATCAATTACAGGCTTTTACAATTTTAAAGAGAAATTAACACCCCAAAGTCAGCAACAACCTGGAATGGTTGCTGTTTACAAGCAATGATTACAACCAGCTGTTTCAGTATGGCAGTATATATGGAAAAGACTGAGTGTTCGTTAACCTATCTCACTAACTACATGTAAATAACTTCTAACGTATCTTCCTGTCAGTTTGTGCAAAGCTTGTTCAAGTCAAAGTAAATAAAAGCATTAGTAACTGTTTCTCTTTACCCTTCTTCATCCCCAGACCACCAGGACATGGCTTCTTGCTCTTTTTCATTTTTAGTTTGGACAGTGCTCAAGAGCTGCACAATTCGCTCTTCTCTGCGTTCATCCATACGCACGACGGCTCTCTGAAAGAAAAGCAGAACTCCCATCATCACGTACCTGACACATGAATAAGCACACTCACTTCTAACACGGAGGCCCGGCGCAGCCGCCGCGCTCTCCCCATTAAGGGCTCCGTTGAGTTGGCTCCCTCCCGGCCGGGCTGCCGCAGCCCCCCTCCCGCGCTGTGTGAGCTGAACGAGGCGCACCAGCACCGGGAGCACAAGCGGTACCTCTGCCCCAAGGGGGCCGCCCCTCACCTGCTGACGGTCCGTCTCCTTGCTCTTCTGACCCTGCTTCCGCGCGTACCACAGCCCGATTTCACGGCCCTTGAGGTGGCTCGGGTGGCGGCCGCGACCCCCGCCGCGGCCTCCGTGTCCCCCCGCGGCGGAGGAAGGCCCGCCATCGCCGCCGCGGCCCCAGTCCCGGCGGTGCTCGTAGCTCATGGCCGCCCTACAACCGGCTCCAGCGTCACGCCCGCCGCCAGCTCTTACTGCCTCACTTCCGCTCGCCTCGCCACCACGCCCCGCGCCACCACGCCCCGCCCGCGCAGGCGGCGGCGGGAGGCCGCCGGTTCGAGTCCCCGAAACCCTCTGGGTGAGGCAGAACTGCGATGAGCTGAGGCAATGTACTCACCGCAATACGTCATCCAAGTGCATCTCGCATGACTCCGCTCGTTTCAGTTTAGAGCCCCGAGTTCTGACTTCTCCTTTCTGAGGGAGCAGGCAGGATTTTAAGGAAACATTGTCAGTCTCCATCACTGCCCTCTTTGTACCAGAGGGGTCTTCTCATTCCTTCTTCTTTAAATAGAATATATGTATTTAACATAGCCCCTAGCTGTGGGCCTGCTGGCTGTATCTGTATAATTTGTCCAAGTTCCCCAGAGCATTAAATTAAAACTTTTAAATGAGATAAAATTATTCACAGAATTATTCCTCTTTCAACAGTTAATTAACGTTCTTTTTGTTTCCTTGAATACCATTGTGCATCTGTAAATGCTTCTTTGGTCTCATTTCTTTACGTAATTTTTTGCCTTTTCTTCCTTGTTGGTTTGATTTATATTCACTTAAAAATTCTTGGCATTCAGATCTCTGAAAGAGTGTTACATGCTGATTTTCAACTTGTTTCAGGTAAAGGGCTGCTTCTTCCAAAGGAAACCATTTCCCCATTCCTCCTTTTTTGATCTGCTTACACTTTACCTGCACTTAGCCCAACAACCCCCAGCAGTTGGCTATGTAAAGAAATAAGAACTAGGCACTTGAGGTCAAGATATGGATTTTCTTTTTCCCTTTCCCCTCACAAAATGCTTGATGCATCCAAGAAGCCACTTGTCCTGCTGCTAGGGTTATCTTCTTCAAAGCCTAAGGAAATGCTTATTACCATGACCTTAACACATGTAAACCAAAATCCCAGAGCCTTGGAGATCATCTGAAAGGCAAATTAAGGAAGGAGCGTCAGAAAGAAATGAGAAATCCTGGAGGAAATATACTTCTTCTTTGCTTCTCCTCATCCTGCACCTGTGGCTTAATGCAGACTATGGAAGCATGCTCCATGACTCCTTCCACATGTCATCCTACACCAACTAAGAGTACTTTCACAGCATTCTTCACAGCTCTCACAGTGACAACCAACTAGGGAGTAGAAAAGAGCCAAAGAAAATTTACACAAAATAAATTCAGAGATCCAAGAAATGTTTAAAGATGCTGGGGAGGGACTCTTCATTAGGGACTGTAGTGATAGGACAAGGGGTAATGGCTTAAAACTTAAACAGGGGAAGTTTAGATTGGCTATAAGGAGGAAATTCTTTCCTGTTAGGGTGGTGAGGCACTGGAATAGGTTGCCCAAGGAGGTTGTGAATGATCCATCCCTGGCAGTGTTCAAGGCCAGGTTGGACGAGGCCTTGGGTGATATGGTTTAGAGCGAGGTGTCCCTGCCCATGGCAGGGGGGTTGGAACTTGATGATCTTAAGGTCCTTTCCAACCCTAACTGTTCTATGATTCGATGATTCGATGATTCCCTTCTGAAACACGTCAATCGCCTACTGAACAAAGGCCTAACTAGGGAGAGTGGCCCAACTCTTTGGGGAAGGTTGGAAGGGGCAGGATTCTAGATGGGAGAACACGACTTGCTGCTCTGGTATGAACCTTCCTTCAGTGGCACACCATGATGATCACAAAACCAAGTGTGTCTTCCAGCTTTCGTTGCCTTGTAGGTGAATATAAATTGCGGCACTTACCATCTCTAGTTCTGTTATTTCGATATGCAAGGACAGCAGATGTCCTGAAACCAGCGGAACCTGGAATAAATGGCCCCTGGTCACCACCCATACACATCCCACCAGCAGTGTGTGCCCAGGCTCTCAAGACGCTGCTTGACTTGGCCATGCTGTTCCATCTCGTGTTGGGTTCTGCACGACTTAGTAAGCTGTCAGCAAGCTGGTTTTGTCTCTTGTATCTCCTTAAAAAATTATTGAAGAAAAATGCTCTAGGTTACCTGGAATCACTTGTGTGACTTCAACAGATTTATTCTGACTGATCCAGTATCCATGACAGTGTATCTGGACACCTCACTAGTGCACTCATTTGGAATAAGTGGGGTTTTAGTGCAAGAGGAAATTTCCATATGGATGCATGTGGCTACTGCATTTCAGCCATGTTTCTCAACACTGCAAAAAACCTACACACATTGCAAAGAAGACATGACAAACAGATAATTTTTTTTGTGGATTTGTAGATTAAGATGTTGGAAACATAGTAAATGTGTACCTATTCATGTAAAAATAATTTTCTAGTATGTAAGAAAAGATGTATTTCCTGAAGTGATCTCAGTGGTTTGCATATTGTGGGCCTTTTCCACACCTTGTAAGCACTGTCCACATTCACATTCAGTAGCCCACTGTCATGACATAAAGCCTGTACAATATGGGCTCTAGGCAGCAACATGCTCTCAAAGAGGATGGAAGATAGTATTCTACCTTCAGTACTGTGAAGTGAGATTCCTTGAAGTTAAACTCCTAATGAGGAAACATTAAACATGTCAGGTAAACATTGAGAAGGGCAGACACAATAAGAGGATTCCACATTAAAGCTCCCAGTCCAGTGAGTAAATCTTGCTACTTGCACACCAGCAGAACTGCTGTCAATAGGATTGTCTCTGTGAGTAAAGACTGCCTGTGCAAGGACTGGAGGCCTTTAGAATTGGTTTGCTTTATGACACAGAGAGTGTACAGGAGTACAGATACAGGAGTATAGTAATTCTTGTAGGAGCTGTTGCTGGAGTCTAGAAAAGGAGTATTTATTCTACTCCAATGCATTTAAATCTGAAAAATGCATTAAAAGAGAGGAATGTAAAACTCAAACACTCTTACTGAAAATCATTACAGTGATACATACTGGGAAGGCAAATCATGTTCCAGAATACATACAGCAACCATAAATCTGCAAAAGTAAAATAGCATATAATTTTTTTTAATAAAATTACTGTATTTTGGAATAGTATGTCACTGTAACATATATTTTCTAACAAGATTAGTACAAAAAATTTACCTTTCAGAATCTGGCTCTATGTTTTGTTTCAAGCGCAATCCTTTGAGACATTTAAGGGCCTGGCCCTGCGTATAAATAAATTTATGTTCTTATAACTCTGCTACTATAATGCTATTCTTAGTGTACAGGAGTGCCACTGAAAAGAAACTTTGACCCACTGGATATACTGGTTACTAAAGATTATCTCAAAAATTATTTCCCGGTTTCTTGTTTTCTGTCCTTTGCATTATTCAGCAGCCCACATCCCAAGAGCATGGGGAGCCTCACTGCTGAGGAGGTCTCTTTCATGTCATCTTCTAAAGGTCACTGACATACTTTGCCCTCAAATGTCAAGCTGTCACTGAAACACATTAATAGGTCAGACAGGGGGAAAAGAACAGAGGAGGGGAAAAAAAAAATCCTTAAAAAGCTCCTGTAAGTGGTTTCAAAAATTAAGTCCAAATGATAAACAAAGACACCTCTGTAAACAACCAACCAGTAGCAAATTTTCTCAAACATCATTTTTTCTGATGCTCTGTGCACGGAGCTGATACCTACTCAATAATTACAACTTGGTTTTTCAGACACTTAAGTTGTTTAATGATGTGAGCCATTTAGAGAAAAAAATAAAGAGACATTGCACATTATCAAATTTGCAGATTCATTAAATAAAATCTATGTTTTATTACAGCTGCAAGGCAACACTCTACAATTAGGCCAAGCTTTGTGTCACAGCTATACAGAATTTTAATGCCTTCAAATATTAACCTTTTATAAACATGTCCATCAGAGATTAACACATCAGCATGTAATCTTGTTGACATAGTTGAAATCACTCCCAAGGAAAACTCACACCTGAGCAAACTGAAGTTGTGTTGCACTGCATCCTTTGCCACAACTTTGCTACCTTTATCTGGATCAAGTGTGTCTGCTGCTATAACGATACTTTCTGCATTCCCTCAACAGAACATGAAGGAAAGCAGAATCTTCAGAGCAAGCAGAATGTGTCTCTCTGCTCTATGTGTATGGATAGAGATTTATTCAATAGACTTACCACTGGTTGTTCCTTATATTCTAGTTAAATCCAAAACACAACATAGCATCTTAGTGGAACCAAAAGCCTTGAGGCATTCATATGAGAGCCCTTTTCACCTTCAAAAGGCAGCATGCAGAAACCACAACTTGCAGAGTGATCCATCTCTATCATAGCAACCTGCAGACTTTGACCCTGATTTTCTTTAGTGCTACATCACTGTCACACCAGCACAGCCCCACCAATTGTGATGGCAGGCCTGACTTACATTGGTGAAGTGAGGAGGCAAGTCATCTGCTTGTTTTCATGCCTCCGTATCAAATGCCAAGTGTGATCAGACACAGCAGTTGGCCCTTTTGCTCTGTCTGTTCATAACCCATAACAGAATCCTGATTGGATTGTGCTTATTTTCTCTTGTATGTTCCCACCAAATGGAAAACAGTGTGACTGCAGACACCTAAATGGTTATGTTGTCATGCGTGCCACTGGAAATTAAATCTATTCCTTAATAAACAGTGTAAATTTTAATTAAACCACTGAAAGTCCTCAGAGTATATTTATCTCTGTTTAACTGAAATGAATGACAAACCCTCAGAAAAAGAGCATTCAGTCAAAATGCAGTGGCATTTCAAGCATATGCTGCAAATGTCATGTAAGACTTGACAGCTCCATTGTTTCCACTGCTTCCATCTAGGCTTATCTGAATTTGACACAAATTACAGTATTTGTTGATTTTATCTTGGCTTTATACTTAGTTCTAGTTTCCTTGTAAGTCACTAGAGACAGGCTCCTCCTGAGGGTAATACAGGTTGGGACCCACTTTAGGTAACCAGAGCACTCTCTTTAGGTCGATGTCTAAGCTCAGTCTCCAAGTCTGGCCACCTTGAATAGCTCCTGATTCCTCTCTTAAGGAGTCACACATCTGTTGTAACTCTCAGACCTGAAGCAGGAGGATCCACCCAAGGAGAAGTGATGACAAGTTTACTAGCAGAATATATATGGCATAAAACCCAGTAGTGTTCTTGCTGTGAGACAGAGGGACTCCTGCAACTCTCTGCAAGTGACATGTGCTCTTGGAGTTCTGCTGAGAGAAGTATTAGCTTCACATGGGCCTTAAGGAAGAAGGAGACATTGTAAAGCTATTTCTTACTTAGGGACAACTCGGACATAAAGAATTATTCAAACTAGTTTTGATGTCCTAGCTCTTCAAACATTTCAAATGCTGTCTTGATCTGGATTGAGTTACAAATATTCTGTAATGTCGGGAAATGCATTAACTTGGTAGAGATCATGGAGGCGAAAAAGGAGACAGCATAAAATAACCAACATTTGTCACATTTGATCAAAGAAATGTCAACCACACAAACACTTCAGTTTTACAATGCTGTATTTACAAAATGCGCAAGCTTACATTGCAGCCACCCACACTTAAAGGTCTGTACACTGGCCACTTACATGGGTGTTACATAAAAATCATGGATAGAGCAGGAAAAAATTAAACCATTTACAGAACTTTCTAATCCTCTACTTAAGTCAACTAAATAAATTGACTTGTGCTTGTGCTACATTTTTTTAAGATAAATATTTCAGGTCTGGCACGTCAGTAAAGAGCAGAACCTCACACCTGTGGAGCTGCTCCCTCATTTTCCACAGGTTCCCACAGACAGACCACTCAGTGCCAATAAGCAATCAAAGCTGTTTTTTTAAGACTTTATTTATGATTCCTTTTTGACGCATGTGTTTCTCAAATAAATATATAAACAACTGGAAATTCACTACGCAAAGCTGTGAAGCACTGAAGTATTTGTTATCCCATCCATATATCATTAAAAGTTTTAATCTATTTTACAGTGTACCCAAATAAAATTTATTTATCTGTTAGGAAAAAACATTTGACACTGTATCTGCTAGGGCAACTTGAGTCAAGAGGCGCAACGTCTGTCAAATCATTTCAGATGTCTAGGTTAAATGCCTTTTAATTGCTGTTGCCATCTTCTTCCCGTTTTATGTATGCTTTATTCAATATTTGTATTTCTTCCTGATAACCACCTTTTTCCACATACTGCTTTTTACTGTTCTGCCTATGAGCTTCAACAGTGTCTGGAATTGATATGTTAATATCACCGTTCGGATTGTTTGATGGTATGAAGAGGGAGTAGGAGGCACTTTCTCCTAAATCACATGAGACAAACCTATTTTCTTTCCTTGAATAACGTAAGGATGGAGACCTTACCTGCGTGGAGGACTGGCTAATGTTACTGATGATTGACACAGTATCCAGGGCCTCTTCATTGTCACAAATTTCAAGTACCTCTAAATGAATTTTAACACTTGTGTCAGCAAACGTATCAGGAGACTCCTCTGCGTTTGGCTCATGACCAACACTTTTAGATCGATATACTTCAATTTTCTTTGACATGGGTGTTATTTTTTGTCCTTCAGTGCTTACCTCGTAGGTGGATAAAGACAGTGTTTTTCCTGTGGGTGCCTGAAGAGATACAGTTCCTTGAAATGCACACAAAGGGACAGCCAAGGCCCCACCTGATCGCTGGAAAGAGGAAGAATGGCCATTATTTCATGTTAATTTTTGAAGTTAGAATCCATTATAAATAAGCAAATTAGGCTTAGTTTGTTAACTTATTTTTCTGACTTTTCCTTTCAGTGTTTTAGAAATATTTATGACTTATTACCATTACTATTATGGTATTTATGACTTTAAAGAATAGAAAGAAGTGTTTGATAATTATACATTTAGTATAAAAAGTGAAGTCTCTGTGACTCATCTTATGGACACACACACTTTTCTAGATAGTCTACACACAATGTTGCATTGCAACCATTCCCCAAGGAGACAGCTCGCACTAGCAGGCACTTCTCTAGCTAGTACTCACAGGCATCTCTGAAAAAGTGTTTTCAATCTGCTTGAATCAGATGGAGACACTGATCTGTTAAAGCTTCTCATAGTGACCAAAGTGACAGAAATTACACCAGAGGACTGTTCAAACGCAGGAACCTACACTGCAACACCTGTCCCCCTTGGGCACCCTGTCTTAATGACTCTTAATTAGGTGCCTAAAGTTAGCTGGCCTAGATACCAAGCTGAACTTCCCAAAACAACTTGGCAGGTATTATTTGTCATGGTTTAACCCCAGCTGGCAGAGAAAGAAGATGCAGTTAAAGTTCTGCAGTACTAAACGTCATCCTCAAAGCAATAATTTTTAGCAGCTGCAATGAAAATATTGTTTGTCAGAGGCTGTAAATAAATAAAAGCATTACATAGATCACTGCAAGTGCCTGTGTTATAAACAGAGGATACAGATTGCTCCTACGTAGATAGCTATAGCTAACTCAGTGGTAGGTTGTTACTTGTTCTTTTCCGTAGTGTTGCAGGACAGATTCTGGCTCTCACTCTCACGCTATAAAGACTCATAATAACTGTGAAGGTTCTCCTTCAGTGACTTACACTGGACAGAACAAAAGTGATGGCAGAAATAGACACACATGGCAAAGAAACACCAGACTCAGGTTCTGGAGAATCTCACTGAGGGGTCATCTTTTGCTCCATCCTCATTTGCTTTGCTGCAGCTGGGTTTTGACTGCTTACTGAGAAGGACACGGGTTATCATTTGAAAACTTCGTCTTGAAGGGGGCCTATAGAGATGCTGGGGAGGGACTCTTCATTAGGGACTGTAGTGATAGGACAAGGGGTAATGGCTTAAAACTTAAACAGGGGAAGTTTAGATTGGATATAAGGAGGAAATTCTTTCCTGTTAGGGTGGTGAGGCACTGGAATAGGTTGCCCAAGGAGGTTGTGAATGCTCCATCCCTGGCAGTGTTCAAGGCCAGGCTGGACGAGGCCTTGGGTAATATGGTTTAGAGCGAGGTGTCCCTGCCCATGGCAGGGGGGTTGGAACTTGATGATCTTAAGGTCCTTTCCAACCCTAACCATTCTATGATTCTGTGATTCACTAAAAAGTACTATACATAATGAATCACAGCTTGGCCAAAAGCAGCCTCTGGCAAGCAGTGAAGTGCTGACTTTGCAAAAGGTCAGTTCAGGAGGAAGAGCTGCATCAATTTATATGGAAATGTGCAACAAGAAAGACTACTGAAAACCAGGGCAGCTGCAGAACCCTACTCTGCACCCACACAGTCAGCAGGGAGAGTGGTATTTGAAAAGCTGCTAGGTAGCAAGGTAAATCATTCTGTACAGTCTTCTGTGTTGTTGTTGCTCTCAGGACCCGCTGATGATCTTTCAAATCTACCTCAAATATCACTGACAGGTGAGAGCTGGGGTTGTTCAGCCTTAAGAAAAGGCTCCAGGGAGACCTTTGAGCAGCCTCAAGTACCTAAAAGGGCCAACAAGAAAGCTGGAGAGGGACTTCTTTCAAGGGCATGTAGGGATAGGACCAAGGGGAATGGCTTTAAACTGAAAGAGGGTAGATTTAGGTTAGATATAAGGAAGAAAGACTTCACTATGAGGGTGATGAGATGCTGGCACAGGTTGCCCAGAGAAGCTGTGGCTGCCTCATTCCTGGCAGTGTTCAAGGCCAGTTTGGATGGGGCTTTGAGCAACCTGGTCTAGTGTGAGGTGTCCCTGCCTGTGGCAGGGCAGTTTGAACTAGATGATCTTTAAAGTCCTTTCCAACCCAAACCAATTCTGTGATTCTACGATCACCTCACCTTTACTAAAAAGCATGTAAAGGAAATTAGGATCCATTGCGTAGAAAAATCTTGCCAAACTGGGACTCAAAGAACAACATTTTCTTTGACAAAGGAATTGACCTGACAAAACCCTCAGAGCTGGCTTGTCCTGCTGGAAGGAAATCAGTTATACTACTCTCCTTAATAGATCTATAAGAGAAAAATGGTCCTCAAGTGTTCTTCCAACGTGCAGTTACAGAGGCTGCTATCATGCTGTGTCATCGAGCAGGCAGAGGTCCTAGATTGGTGAATGTTAGCTGACAGCAGTTCACTGGCAGCTCCTGGATACTGCTTTGAGTTCAGAGCCACGGTGGGTGCAGGGGCACCCTCAAGTGTAGCTCTCCTCAGGCTAAGAACCAGCAGCCTTTGTTTCAAAACAATGAGGCAGGAGCTTTTTTTTAAATCTCAGCTAGGTGTTGGCCCTTACATTTTCTGTAGTAATTAGTAATGAGGATCACTCCTCCAGAAAAGATGTGAGAACAACTGTTTTCTCAGCTTGAGGAAGCTGTTGTCCACCCATCTTCCACCCCAGTTGCTTAGTAAGGCCACTGGAGGATAGAGCAACAAATCCAGCTCTGGGTAACATCAAGTGGACAAAGCCTACTGCTCTAAGCAGCACAGAGGCACATAGTAAGCATCTTGCATATGGCAATGGATACAGCCTGGATACTTATCAACTTCGGTAACACACATTTAGAATGGTGTTTCTGTTGGATACAAGCCCTGTGGCTCTATTTCCAGCCCCCTGTCTAGTTTCTGCACTCAACACTCTGAAGTCCTTTGCAGGGTCTGTTTGAGTGTCTGCATTTCTGGCTGTTAATCAAGGTCAGACTCTGAACAGCCTAAAAGAGCACTTAAATTATACAGAAAGACATCTAAAGAGTAGGGGGGGGGGGGGGAAGTTAAATAAGAACTGATTAATTCAGTGCAAGGTTACATTCTAGTTAATAAAACACTGCAGATGCATCATCTTGAATGTCAACATGGAGGGTATGTCTGAGACATAAGCAATCTCACTCACTGGAATGAATACTCCAGTTCTGGAGAACGAGAAATTTTCCCATCACCACACATTTAGTGGCTCTTTCCAAAAGTCTGTTTTCTGTTTAGAAATCAGTATTTACTTTTAGAACTGAAAAGGATATGCTAACTCTTCTAGGCTACTTCCCAGTCCCTAACGAGGAAGCCAGTAAACTACGCAATTCCTCTTCATAAACTGTGCATCATAATGCCACGCACTCGTGACTGCAACAGGTGCATGACTACTAACCACTGCCCTTGCAGGAGCAGCTTTCAAATCACAGCTTTAGCATCCTCAGTGCAGCAGCTGAATTGCAAGGAAACTAGACAACTAACTGCCAGCTTTGATGAAGTACACGTGTATGAAACAAACCCATTCATCATCAGTGCAAAATGTTCAATGTTTAAAAAAATCCAATCACTGAAAATAACTTACTGAGCACACTTTATTGGAAATTAAATCAAACCCTGGAATTACATGATAGGGGAAGGCAGGAATAAAGCCTGAAGGGAGATCTGAGCCAGTGAACTGGAAATACACAGCTAAGTCCTGCGGGGAACTCGCACTACCTCGTCTGGTCCTGAAGTGCCACAGCCCTGGGAAGACTTCTGTGCTCCACACTGGAGGGGAGACACTACGGCCACTGATGGTGACTGTCCCTCTGCAGCCGGAGCAGCGGAAAGAACTCTGCACCAGCACCAGAAAGGGGATAGTGACCGAGAACGCAATCTGGCCCCTCAGCAATGCACAGGGCACTGAACAGCACAGCCAGGCTCTCTCCTGGGTTCAGAGCTGTTGCTTGTCTTGAGCTCACTTTGCAAGCTCTGCTCTGGAGTCAAGAAGCCCAACAGAAAAATGCCATGATTAAAAACAGCCCAAAAGAAGGAAAAATGCAATTCCGGTTTTATGTACAGCCAGGTAAAATTATTACTGGAATTACTTTCAGTATAAATGAGAACTAATGAGAACAGAATGTAACCCTTATTTGTCCTTGATATGATTACTAAGTATCCATTTTTGCTTCCTGTGACACACTCATGGAAATAAATAGGAATCTATTAGCACACCAGACTATACTGGCACATCCTGTAACAAAGTATTTTGTCTTCCACTGTTTCATTGTTACCTACAGTTCAGCTTTCTGATTTTAAACTTTCAATGTCATTTAATTCTAAAGCAGTAGAAAGACGAAGCAATCTGAGTAACACTTAACAGTAGCTTTCCCTTCATTCATCCAGGTTCCTGCACCCCAACTCTGCATTATTTTAGCTTGAACAAAAGCATCCTCACCTGTAGAAAGGTTATGATTCATTTTTACTTCAGTGAAAAAATAAAGAGAATCATGGTGCTGTTTCTGAACATCTGCCTCCACAGCCTGTGACCAAAATGCTTTTCGCAAAGGTACTGCTCCACCAGTCTTATTCCACACTATTTTGCCCACACACTTTGTGTTTCTGTATTTAAAAGAAAACCTATTTTTTAAAAGAAATACACATTTAACTCCTTGCACACAATTTATGCTATGCATTCTCTTTCTAAAATACTTCTACATGAATGGTTTTAAGAAGGTACAGAAAACTTGGAGCGACTTGGTTCTTGGATCGTCTTCAGAATGACAATCATAGGATCATAGAATAGTTAGGGTTGGAAAGGACCTTAAGATCATCAAGTTCCAACCCCCCTGCCATGGGCAGGGACACCTCGCTCTAAACCATATCACCCAAGGCCTCGTCCAACCTGGCCTTGAACACTGCCAGCGATGGAGCATTCACAACCTCCCTGGGCAACCCATTACAGTGCCTCACCACCCTAACAGGAAAGAA